AATAGCTTCTTGCTCCTAGTAGTAAGGCCAGGAGCCCCTAGTAGCGTCCTTGCTCCTAGCAGCGATGCCAGGAGCCCCTAATAGCTTCTTGCTCCTAGTAAGGCCAGGAGCCCCTAGTTGTTCCTAGTAGCGATGCCCTTTGCTCCTAGTAGCTTCTTGTTATTAGAAGCAAGAATGCTCCGTTCGTAGCGATGCCAGGAGCCCCTAGTAGCATCCTTGCTCCTAGTAGTAAGGCCAGGAGCCCCTAGTAGCGTCCTTGCTGCAATTTCTTTTCTCTACCGTTCAACCACTGCTGACTGTTCCCATTGTTCTTCTTTGTGGGGGGTGGATGGGTTAGATGATGGGAAAACTGGTCATGGATGCTGGCAGGACTCGTGCTTCCCCATCTTCTGCCAAAGGCTACTTGACCGTTCTGCCCAAACTCTCCGAGGCTCCGAACACAATGAGTTGTCGCATGTCCGCTGGAAAGGGGATTACTTTCTGGAACTTCCGGTCCGACATAATCTGAGCAAGCGATGTTCACATCTCTGGGGAGGACCATGGGGTTGAGGGAGCAACAGCAGTCTTCATGCTCTCGTCCGGGCGGTTGGCAAAAAGACTGAGTAGTGATCTGGAAAAGCTTTGTTAGTGTGGAAAAGAACCAACAAAATACCAACAGCGGGAGTAACATCTTCTTTTTGCTGGAACTGGACATTGGAATCCGCAGTTGTCTTGCAGCATGTTGAGACCCAGCACCGCCCCTCTCCATGACGGCTAAATCTATGCAACCTGGAATTGGCATTGATTCGCAGCAATATCAAGTTTGCTGGCCAGGGCCTCTGGATCATTGGTAAATTTGCCTGGCGCACGTGCGCACTGCTTTATACTTACCGCAGACTTCGTTCTGTAACTGAAGTGAAGGGCCTGTCAAGCAGCGGCCACGAGCTTTCATCTCCTCCACAGTCTCACAAATGGCCTCAACGGGTGGTTAAATTCCAGCACTATTTGCGCGTGAACAACTCTAAGACTGTGGGCGTCGACCAATGAAAGTTCATGAATGCTGAAAAATGAAACAATCTTGTGACAGGGAAGACTCTTACAAACTTTACTTCTGCAAAACTGCCTGTAAGTTCCTCTGTGCGAGGTAGTCCAACTGTTGTCGGCCACTGTCCTGGGTCACACGATGTCATGATGTATCTTGGGTCTGGAACTGTTTGCACAACGTAGAAACACATGTTTTCCACATTAGAATTTCCACTGCAACTATGCTACGAAAATGCCTGAATCACAGTTTCGAGTTTCTCTCCCACACGCGCAGCTTCGTCATCTGCCATGCCACTGGTCAAATCGATTAGATGTGCTGCACAATTAGATGTTTAGCCATCGTCTCATCCAAAAGCAGTTACCGTCGATAGATTGTGGTCCTTGTCATGGATCCCCCCTTGCGACAAATACTGGTCCTTTGAGGCCAAGAAGCTCTGTCTATCAACGGCACTTTGTTTCCTGCAATAATGGGGGCTGGGACTCCAGAGTTGGTTGCAATCCGAGATGCGGCGTGGTACCAAGCGGTTGTTTTGAGCTCCACTTTCTGACTTCGCTTCCTTGGCAAGGTTGTTAAGAACCAGCTGTAGACAGTGGACAGTATGGTATGACAGTCCCCAAATGATGGCAGCTTGCAAAAGAGCGAGAAAAAAACACGTCGGAACATCACCCATCCTCCTTCAAACATAGCAAAGCTTCGGGAGCGTTTGCTTCGCAATGTATATAATTCGACTGCTGTATGGCATTCTGGGACTGCACCGAGCTCCCAATATATGTCAGGGGTCTTACTACTGGGAGCAAGAAGCTACTAGGGGCTCCTGTCATCGTTACTAGGAACAAGGACGCTACTAGGGGCTCCTGGCCATACATGGCCATACTACTGGTAACAAGAAGCTATTAGACACAAGAACTAGAAGTGAGCATTGCTCAAAACCCATCGAGCATTTGTTCTAATGGGCTCTTCTTTCGCAAGTTCCTTTCGCAACACTTTCGCGGCTTGCGTTTTGGCTTTCGCGCGCTGCGTTCTGTGCAAAAACACTTTCGCAAGCGTTCGCAGACGGAACTGATTTTGCAAGCTTTTGCCAACTGTCCGGAGCTTTCACAAGCTTTCGCCAATGAAACGTGCGCACAATCTTTCGCGGATCTTTCGCGACTGCATGTTTTGCTTTCGCGAAGGCATAATACATTAACCTCTCTTCAAATTGTTACTTGGGAAGTTTTGGCCGCTGCTCGGCTTTCCGAGCTCGCGGCTGTCCAAAGGTTTGCTCCAACCCAGGCCTGGGAGAACAGGGTGGGCCTAGTGAAAGGAGTTGAAACTACACAAGAGAAGGGCTCCTGAAAAAAGGGTGGAGCAATCTGCAACATACCAAGAGCACAAATGGATCTTTCATTGCTATCGTCTACCTAGAAGTCCCTCCATGTCAAGATGTGAGCAGCGTGAGCAGCAAGCGTTTGCCATGACCCCCCCATCACAAGGGGTGTCGCTTGCCATACTCCCTTAACGTGTAGCGTCACAATGAGAATGATCCGATCATCCCTGGATCCTTACTCAATTATATATATATATTATATATACATACATTATACAGTTATATATAGTTGGCTTTGCAAGTGACACACATCGGCATATAGCACCAACAGGTGCGCAAGCCACACTGTAGTGCCCAAGGAATTCAAAGCTTCACTTGACCATTCTAATGCAAACATGCCTAAAGCATGCAGTAAGAAGAATCTACCGACTTGGCTCCTTTCGAGAATGACATCTGCTACCTAATATGTCATATGTGCCACTTCGCAGCACAAGAATATTGATGAATATTGCACGTTTCACGTTTCCCACAAATGCTGAGCTGGGGGCTTCCCAAAGGTGTGGTCTATCTCTGACCTCCGCACCGTCCGAACCCTATGCTCAAAAGACATGAGGGAGCTTGGATGGAATATCGTCCGCTTACAAACTGTCGGAGGCTATCATGATATTTCATGATGTTTCATGAGCACCCAAGAAAGCAACCACACTCAAGGAATCTCAATGACCTCCAAAGTATGTTGCTCCTCCGTGTGCTCGAAAGCTTCAGATTGAATGATTGGAGTATTGAATGATATAGTTTGCACCCGAACTTACGGTACATTGTGCATCAACGCACAGTACATACTACCCCTGGATATCCAATTAAGCTACAAAGCCTGCGCGGTAAAACTGAGACTCGCAACATGACCACTTCCATTTGCGACAAGTGGCGAGGGATCCAAAGGCTCTCCATCGGGTCCGAACCTTGGCTTGATCCGATGGAACAATCCAAGTAGTTGTGGACCCAAAGTCTTGTCTCACGCCCTGGAACTCATTTGGTCCTCATCTCGTTGACCATCCTTCAAAGTAGCTCAACCAACTGGACTGGTTGCCTTTAGCTCTTTGCATCTCTAAGCGGCTTTGGGTTGCCATCGAAGGTAAGGTCCATGCCTCCAAGTTCAAGGCATGACCAGTCACAAAAACCCAACAGGACCAACGGACAAACATACACTGGCTGTGCCCTGAAAACCAGTGTTCAAGCTTCTTGCTGATCACGTTGAAGAAGGTTGTGTAAGGTGTGTATCTGTTGGTGAATACCTTGCAAAAGCGGCGCTAGCGAACTCTTCAAAGGGCACCTTGCTGTAACAGCCCAGCCCAGACCTCTTTGGGTGTATGAGCCCTGGCAGTGACGCTTGGACAGCTTCTGCAAGGCACGGGCACACTTGTTGTAGGAATTGTTCTTTCTTGAGTACATAACAAGCTCAAAAGATTTGCTGACTCGTGCCTTTCTGTGGGACAGGATGGGAAACAACTCTGAAACTAGCACAAAACGACATGGATTAGCCACCATTATGTGTTGAGGTCTTGGCAAACTCGGCACTCACCACTGACCACAATTAATCTAAAGTCAAAGGCTAAGGAACTTGAACTGGAACTCAAATGGATATGCTTGGGTTCTGCCGATGGGTGTGGCGAGTTTGAGCTTGAGTCGCTTGGGACTTGGGATTCTGCACCAAAGAAAAACTCAAGTTCAGCCAGGGTCACTCGGATGGAGATGAAGGCGCCACAGAGCCAGGCAGCCGCTGAGGCGGCGTGACCCGCCGGGGTGAAGACATTAAGGGCCTTCGAATGGCAGCTAGATCAGCTAAGCAGCTAGATGGAGAAATGAACAAGGGAGCATGGTTGTGCAAACACTGCTCCACTTGTGGAGCAATGCCACACCGTAAAGAACAGCTGGAATATGGAACACGCACCAAAGAAAGGTTCTACCCATAAGTTGACTTCCGCTGAATTCAAACAAAAACAATACTTGTGTAGAGGTTGAACGCGCAAAAGTCGTCACACATGGCCAGCCCAAGCTGCCTGCAACCAATGCACACTCCCGTATCCGGATGCAAGCTTTCTACTTTTTGTTGAGTGACCAGGTTAGGATTTCGTGCGTTTGACACCTGACGTCCATGGTGAGCAAATGTAGGCAAGCAACCTACAGTCATATTATTAATCGACAGTATCCTATTTGCACTTGTTTGACAAAGGGAAGGCAAAACCGAAACCTTGCTGATGCTGCGTTTTGGCTTGAAAGCTTGACCATTGATAGCCTTGCCGCAAGGGTGGCAACTTCGTTGAAACGGGCTTTTCGAGCCAAAACACGCCATGAAACTGAGTACACGTACGCAGCAAGCCTCCTCCAATTGTGGCTCGACATTTCCGCTCAAAAGTCCGGATGGAAAGTCCCATTTCCCTCAAGCAACACTTTTGGGAGCATAACAACTGACACCCCTCCAGAATGAGTGATTCGTTTGAAGAAAGGTTTAGCTTTCTCCATCTTTCCAAAGAAAGCTCCTTTTGCAATGTGTTGTAACTGCTGGAGGGGTCCGCCCCAAGAACCAAGGAATCGAGCATCCAACACGGGCGTCCTGAACAGTAGTCCAAGACTAAGAAGAGGTGTCCCTGCGTCTGGAAGGCCCAGTGCATCTGCACCACGAACCTCGAAATCAGTGCATCTGCACCAGCGTGCCTTTCTTTGTTTCTTTCACTGCGTCCCCACGGGTCCCAATGAAACAGCACCATCCAAATCTGAAGAGAAAGGCCTGTTGATTGATCCAATCAGTTCAGATCAGAATGCTCTTTAAGATCAATCCAAGCTGCGGATGTGAAAGTCTTGAAAGCACTCGCTTTTCAGCGATGGCACCTGAAGGGAGGCCACACTGGGAGGCAATCCACATTCTGTGTCTTAAAGGTTTTCAAGGCTTCCGCCGTGCACAACTTGTGGGGGAGAACGTCTCACTATACAAATTTCTGCCCAGATCATCATTCTCACCCCCTCAGACCCCGCCGGTTGCCTTTCAATTTGAGAGGAACCGGTTTCAACACGTTGCTTGGATGGAGTGCATGAGGCTCCAACGTTCCAGCTTCTTGTCGTGGGTCACCAGCTTGCGCTTACTGAGCACCTATCATACTGGGAATGAAGAGCGCATATATAATTGCTCTAATGTTCTAAGCATATGGACCCTCAATCTCGTTCCCTTGTCAAAGGTCCAATCCACAGGATACAAACGGATTCAAACGCATGAAAGACCTTTCATCTCTCTTCCCTTTCCCTTTCAGCCGAGCCTTTACGGCATACTGCTTGCCTGTAAGCTTATGCTGAACCTCCAGGTCTGCAAAGAAACCACAGTCACTGTGTCAAACACACTTTGAAAGTGTGAGCACTTTTCGATGAAAAGTCGGGTCAACAGCGTCGTCAACGGTCTGTTGAGCTACGTAAGCTTTCCTGTGGTGTTTGGAGTTGACACAAGACATACCAGCCATAAAAACAACTGTCGGCCTGCACCACTCGACAGGAGGCACCAGTCCCCAAGACTCTGATGGTCTGGCCACATGCTGCAGCTTTGGGTGGAAAAAACATCGGACTGTTTGTAAAACCTTATCTTTATTACTTTTCACCACATCCAATATTCATTACTATTCTTCTTTTAGCCCGTGGCCCTGCCTCCTTACTTAATTAAGCAAGGGCGACTAGTTCACTCCTGGCTAGGACGCAGGATAGCTCGCGCTTCTTCAAGGAAGCTCCCCCCGCCCGCCTGAGGGAGGAGACTTGAAGAAGCGCTCGCTCTGATGATTTGGTTCCTAGAATTTTAAGGAAACTTAACTTCCAACCATCCAACCATCGCAGCTCACAGCCCCATGCCGCTGTAACGGTAACGGATGGTACTGATGCATTTGCATCTGTTCATGTGAGCAGGCTCTTCTCCAACATGCTTGAACCTCAATTTTGACCAGTCAAGTTCCAACCCAGCTTCAAGCTGAAGGAGAACAGCATCGACGCCACGCAGCGACCGGAGGCGTCTCCTCACCTTGAAATCGCCCACAGAGACGCCAGCTTCCTGAATCGTCTCCTCGGATGCTAGTACTAAGGCCAGGAGCCCCTAGTACGAGTAGCGTGGTTGCTCCTAGTAGCGATGCCAGGAGCCCCTAGTAGTAAGGCCAGGAGCCCCTAGTAGCGTGGTTGCTCCTATAGTAGCGATGCCAGGAGCCCCTACTAGCTTCTTGCTCCCAGTAGTAAGGCCAGGAGCCCCTAGTAGCGTGGTTGCTCCCAGTAGCGATGCCAGGAGCCCCTAGTAGCTTCTTGCTCCTAGTAGCAAGGCCAGGAGCAGTAGCGTCCTTGCTCCTAGTAGCGATGCCAGGAGCCCCTAGTAGCTTCTTGCTCCTAGTAGTAAGGCCAGGAGCCCCTAGTAGCGTGGTTGCTCCTAGCAGCGATGCCAGGAGCCCCTAATAGCTTCTTGCTCCTAGTAGTAAGGCCAGGAGCCCCTAGTAGCGTCCTTGCTCCTAGTAGCGATGCCAGGAGGCCCTAGTAGCTTCTTGCTCCTAGTAGTAAGGCGTCCTTGCTCCTCACTTCACCCCGTTTTTGCATTGTTTCAATGATCCGAATTTCTACAGGACCTCTGTTCATTTCTGATCAAATTGGTGGACAGCCAGCACCCCTTGAAGGCTCTTGACGTTGTGAAGCAGCATTCGGTCCTTGGCCATTCTTGAAGGCGCTTGCACCTACAGTCGGATCATATTTGGGCCCGTGTCCAGCTTCAATTGAGAGGTTTTGCTCTAAGGATGTAATTGGGGATGTCTCGGGGTGACCTCTTGAAAGGGAACCTTGCGGATTGGACTCGTTGGACCAACCCATTCAGATCCTTTCTCAATCTGACACCTGACTTGCGAAAGTTAGGAGATGCAATGCTCGCTCCAACATTCCTGAAATGTTTGAGGATCGATAGCACATTCTGTGCATGTAAAACGATGTCAAACTTGAAACTACCACAACAAATGGGAAGAAAGCCTGTCAGGAAGACTCACTCAAATGGCTATGGCGAGACTCTCTGGTGGCAGCCGTGCCTCGAAAATGGCCTCCAAGCAATCTCCATCTTCCAAGACTTCCAGCACAGCCTCAGAGCAGAGGCACATCTTCTGCACACACACAGAAGGATTATAAAGGCGGCATGGGAGCACCAACCTAATAGCGATGGTCTCCAACCTACTAGGAATATGCAGGAACCTAAGACTTTGCTTTGAGGCGGGCCCGAACCTGGCAGGGTTGCCGGTGCACCTCTCTTGGGGACTCGTTCATGCACTCCCTGACATAGCAATGACTGACACAATACATCGCTTGTCGGTGGGTCTTCTGCTAGGTACGGGCAAGAGATAAGCATGCCCATGATTAAGAGCACACTAAAGGTGTGTCAAGTCAAGACATAGGACCGCAACGCTTCATAGGCAGCACTGCGAAGTGTAAGCCTGTCAGTATGTATGAATGGTGTCTCCTTTTTGTAAACCACCAACAGCTTTTCTGGCAAATGAGGGAGGGCGATGTGGTGTTCAGTCCAAGCTTATGAGGCTAACCCTGAGGATCTGACCAGGCCGTAGTCTACAAGCATCTCATCCTCTCACAATCCAGTTCTTCAGAATGATCTGAGAGCCCACAAGACCAGTGGCCAACTTTCATGATCAAACCCTTTGCATCAGCTTTACAGTAAGCCAGCATGGCATGGATTGCCCCTGATCACTTGGCATCTGTCCACTGCCTCAAGATTGCCATAATCATCTGCCTGATTGCTGGACATCTGCAGAAAAGTGACAGGATCAACATGGACCAACTATCACGCATATGACCTCTGTGATGCTGAGAAGCATTGAGTTCCGTGCATCTGGAGGGCTATTGCTTGCCGATGCTCCGTAGCCACAGTTCCTGTCAAGCACACGCCGGAGCGGACTGCTTCAATTGGAGTCTTATTTAGCCTGAAACTTTCCAACATCTGTTCAACATATAGTTGCATCCAGTTTTTATCAAAGGATGGGATGGGATGGCAAGAAGAAATCATTCACGAAGGGGTGCTCAATCAACTTCACCTTCTAGAATCCCCATGTTCAGAGACTTATAGAGACTTGGAAAACATCTATTCATTAAGGAAGGCTTGCAGGACAAGTGGGGGACATGCCCTCGCAGCTTTTGACCGTCCTTCCAGCTCTATCTGCCGCTGGCGAAGCGGAATAGCCTGGCTTCCTGTCAGACTGTGGCAAAGGACAGAATGACCGTACCAAACTATTCTGCAAAAGAGAAAGAGATATGTTTGATTTTCTTAGGTTCAGGAGATAATCACGTAGTTGAACATAGTATGCTTCCATTCAATCAGGGGTTTTCACACCGGATTCACTGACAACATTGCGGTAGACAGTCCAAAGAACCGAACACCATTGGTGCGTCTTCCAAGAGAGGCCTCAGGTCTGAGAACAGCAAAAGACAACGAACGCTTCAAGTGGCGAGTGGGATGGACTTTACCACCCGCCATACCTTCTATACTACTTCGCTACTCGACTGGTCCATCGAAGACATTGAGAAGGCGAAACCAAAGTCAACTTTCCCTCTTGCCCACTGCCCGCACTGGCCTGGCTGTGGAGCCGCCCCGGACGCTAGATTCCTGGCCGGGAATCTGTGCGCAAAGACCACGGCCGATTGGTGAAAGCAGCAACACCTTCATAAAAAGGATACATCTATTATCATCTATTATGATCGTGTGACTCATGCGCATACCATTTATATACCGTATCAACGGCTTGCGGAATCTAACACCGTGTGGTTCCACTCTCTGAGCGCTTCAGATTAGGGGCTTTCGATCCCTAGGACTCGTGGCGCGAAGAGGGGGGCCTCCTTTTCCTGGGGTCTCATTCAGCTTCATTAATTGAGAAACATACTGCACAATACTGCATATATATAAGTATATACCCCATGTATATCTTATACTAGCGAAGGCCTCCAACCTAATAGCTTCATTAAGATCTATCGATCTAATTATCGATCTATCTATCGATCTATTATGATTGGATATGATAATAGGTAATGTATCCCCTCATCTCTTTTCTCTCTTTCCGCTCCCCCTCACGACTTTGTGTTTGTCTGTCCCTATCTGTCTCTATTATCTTTCTTATCTTTTCCCAACCCACATGACCAACAGAATCGGGGCGGTTAGTCTTTGGCAGCATTCAGCTGACTCACTTTTGATTACTGCCGTCCTTCAAGGTACTCTGATGCTCATTGAGTGACTGTTAAAGTACACTGCCCCAAGGTCCATGGTTTTGACAAACAATGTTCGCTACTAGTAACAAGTGCATCGCTTCTAGTAACAAGTGCCTTACTAGTAGTAACAATGTTTGCTCTTAGAAACAATAACTAAATTAGGTTCAATTAAATTCAACCAAAAAAATGACGAGTTCAAGCGATGTTCAAGCAACCCAATGCCCCACCACCCTGCCAAATTGTCTGCCAGGGGCTGAAGCGGTTCAATTGCGGGACACATCCTCTGCAAGTATGGTCCATATCATTAATGATATCTAACATATCTCATTCTTGTACTGTTGGATGTTGGAGTAAATAGTACTACCATTAGAGGTAAATCTTTAAACAAAGGTCCTTCGGCGAGACTCCTGACTTCATTGCACATTGCAGCGGATAGCTCCAGGCACAGAAATTCATCTATATAATCGTCCATACCTAAGCACATGCAAACCTACATTTTATATAGATTGCTCAGTCTCTCTCTCCCTCCCCATCCCGCGATCTATCTCTCTGTGTGTGTCTCTGTCTCTGTCTCTCTCTCTCTCTCTCTGTCCCTCCTTCCTTCTCTCCTTCCCTCCCTCCCTCCCTCTCCCAACCCCCCTGCCCTTCCCCTTCCCTTCTGATGCACGTGTCTTCATTTACTTGCCCTGATAGACATCTTTACTCACTCAAATCACACCCGTGGAAAAACATTCTGACGTTGGTACGCCCGGCAAGCAAAGTGTTGCCAGATATGTCTTTCTTCGCTCCCTGTGGACAACTCATGTCTCTCAATTCTCATGGTCCAATGGTCCACGTCCCGTCTTCTGGTGAATCCACAACGCGCCAAGTTCACGCCATCCAGCTTGGCGCCACCCTTGACCACGCGGAGGCCCACGATGGAGGGCGCGTCGGGCTGGCACGGTTGATGCGGCTGGCTGGGTGTCTGCAACAAATCTGCGCCGAGTCTGGGCATGGAAGGTGGTTTGTTTGGACCCATACATCTTGAAGGGCAACAAAGCACTGCACCGCGAAACACCAAGACACACATGCCTCTTTTCTCGTCAATTCTTCAATCACACGACTCAGCACCTCGGAAATCACTCCGTGGCTAGGAGGACGCCAGGCTGAAACATGTGTGAAAAACCTCTGCCCTTTCAGCCTTTCAACTTCCCGTCTGAATCTCATGCATCTTTGAGACTGCGCAAAGGTCAGTTCTGCGTCCCTGGCCCAACCAATTGTTGCATGCTTGTCAGCCTCACAAATGGATGGACCACGCAAGCAAGTGGAGCCAAATTTGCTTTGATGAAGGAATTTTTCTCGGCTGAATTTACATTCTACATGATCACTTAGACTTGGATGTATATAAACTAAACGAGGATCCTTGGACACGGTGTTGACATGCTGGCCCGCCTGTACCCAGACTTCAACCCGGCGTTCGGCTACGCTCTCAGGTCCACTCTGGTCTGCCTCAGATTCAGAACATTTAAAATCAGTCCAGAACTTTGGCCGGCGAAGTTCCTAAAGTGATCAGCAGAACATATCAGCCACATTCAGCCACAAGGTGTAGCTTGAGTCGAGGTGGTGCTACCGGGAACACAAATCCACGTGACGTGGACCAAATTGATGCGACGTTAAGGATCATAAGGATCATCTCCCAAAAAGGAGCAACAACACAGCCACGGGGAAGCCGCTCTACTTGGGGTCCCTGCTTTTCGTATGTGCCCCACAACCAGCACCATACTGGAAGCCCGTCCCTGGACGTGGATGCATCATGATGCGTCCGTGCACAATGGAAGAGCACTTTCAATGTTGGAAGCACTCACTTGTTCAGCGTGATGGGACACTTCTTCAAGCTTTGCAGCTTCAATTCCGGATTTTCGTTAGCTCTCATCAAGCTTTGCAGTTTCAAGCTTGCTACCATGCAGCATTTGGATGGCGTGCAATGAGGTCGGTGGCTGTTTTTTTTTGTCACTGCTTCTTCGAAGTGTCAAGATGCACATCAGAATAGGTCAAAGAATTTAGAAGTGAGGAGGCCTCATGAACACATCCAACAACCTCGGTGGATCACACATGCCAGCTATTTGGCTTTTCAAGGCCTTGGTACTTGTCATCAACTGAGTACTTCAAGTACTACAGTCATGGTGCTTCAAGCTTTGACGGACATTCATCCATTTCATCCTGGCCTTCTTCTGTGGCTTCGGGGCCTGCAAACCTGCCAAGTCCACGGCATTGCCCATGGCCTGGGCGCTGCTGAGGCACAAGATGGCACCGTAGAGAAGTTTACATTTTCTCTTGATGAAACCTAAATTGGAGCACAAGTTGCTGTGGGTCAAAACCAGGATACCTTGGTTGATCTACCCTGTGCTTCTCCAATTTGCACACTTGAGGAATATCAACCACCGAGCATGCAACAAGACACAAGACACTCTGCCAGTCCCTGTTGTTCCTTTCCAAGTTTCCCTCAACATGGCAACGAACCAAATCATTCGTGCGAGCGGTTCTACAAGGAAGCTTCCTTGAAGAAGCGTTTTGGTAGGAGCTATCGTTACAAAAACTTTCATATGGTAAGGCCAGAATCCTTGATACACAAAGTCAAAAAAGTCAAATGGAAAAGTCAAAGTAAAGAAAGGTCCAAACAGTAAACATAGACCACAGCTCCAAAAAGAAAAAAAATAAACAAAATAACGTCAAAACATGTGTTATTTTTTTTTTAAACGTCAAAATCAACAAGACAACTCGAAAAAGTAAAAACCGCCAACCACTCGAAAAAAGTCAAACAAAGTCCAAAAACATTAACAAAGGTTTTAAAAAAACAACAAAACCGCCGAACACATGTCAAAAAAATCGAACAAAGGTCAAACAAAAGTCGGATCTGTGCAAATTGACTTTTTTTTTGACTTTCTGAAACTTTCTGATTTGATATTTTTTGACTTTGACTTTTGAGATCGACTTTTCTTTGACTTTTATTAACTTTTCAAAACAGGCTCTCTCCAATGAAAGATTTCTACAAAGCTATCGCCTGCGTCCAATGACGAACGTAGCGTCCTACCTAGTATGCTTAAGTATGTAACAAGTATGCGTAAGTAGCTTACTTCATTGAGTAGTCGCCTGCGCCCCTTCGGATGTCATGTGGCTTCTAACTGAAGACGCCCCTGCCTGGTCCGGCCGTCTCCCGCCAAAGGGAAAAAGGTGATTTCTCAAGCGTTCAGTGAACAAAGGGGTGTTTTTGGAGGGACGTGGAGATGATGTCAAGGGAAGGACACACGTCACTTGAGTTCGGCGCTTTGCTGACACCGCAAAAATATCTGTCGAATTTTTGTAGCCCTAACATGTCAGTGAACC